ATGAGGTGCAAAGAGATTGTAACGTTGAGGCGCACGTATATCATTTTAGCTATCGTTTGGGTTGTATGTTTAGTCTCTAGTTTATTCTTTCATCTAAATTACCGTATAGCCTTTTGGTGCAGCCTTATAGCTACACCATCTTTCCTGATGATCTCAATCGCCTCTTACACAAAGATTTTCCGCGCTCTCGGTCATCATCAGGCTCAAATACAAGATCATGCTCAACAACAACCGAGCCAACCAAATGCACTGAACATGGCGCGATACAGAAAGGCAGTGTACAATGCACTGTGGGTGCAGTTAGCTTTAGTTGTCTGTTATGTACCACTTTTTATGATAAAAATTGTGATCTTTCTTAGTACAAAGCGATTTTTGAATTTGTTCATATTCCTGGGAATGGAAAATGTCTTAGTGTTTTTTAACTCTACTTTAAACCCGTTTCTTTACTGCTGGAAGATAAGTGAGGGGAAACGAGCAGTAAAGCTGACAATCAGGCAAGCAATCTGCTATGCAAAGGGTTGACCTTTTAATGTTGGCATGTGCTGTTTCCTCTCTAACTTGTTGGGAAGTTTTGATATCTTTAAGATAATCCGATTATCGAAAGCTCATCATAATCAGGGGCATGGCGAATGTTTTAGTTTTCTTTAATTCGACTTTAAATTGAACGCGTTTCTTTGCTGTCAATTTTAAAAGCATTCTTATTACCAAACTCGAATATTTAAGGAGAATACGTAACTCTATCACAGACCGTGTACACAAAGCTGGTCTTATGAGAAAATATTCTCTCATTTCATGACAACAGAGTACAAAAGCTGCTGACACGCGCTCTTGAGTACCTTCCACTGCTCTTAATTATAAAAGGTTTGTATGACATATCAACACAGAAAGGATCATTTCTGCGCTTGAATTTCATCTGATGATCAAAAATGATTTATGTCTTTCAAATTTTGAAAAAAAGGGAATAAGTATAATGGAAGGAATAAGACTTTGGACTAAAAACTAGTACAGTGTAATCTCTTTTATGTGGTGTCCTTTAACGCTTTCATTTCGTCCTCAGGGCTGTTGTGAATATCCGCACGGAACGAGTAGAGGTTGTATGCAAATTTTTGATGAGTAAATAATATGAAAAAGTTAACGTTGCCATAAATGTCATAAATGAAGGTATATCTCGTAGATAAAATAACAATCAAATAAATTTGATCAGTGATGTTTAAAAGTTTAAAATTATTTATCAATCGAAATGATTTCCGACCGCGATTTCTGGATATCTAAAATGCTCCAGAAGATTCTAAAAGGGTTCGCTTATTTACTTAGTCTTGCTGAGTCTTAAGCTAAGTCAGACAAGCCAAGCTGAAACTGATCTTTAAATAAAATTTAACGAAACGATGTAGAATGTTCCAGGCTGTTAAGCATATCTCTAAATACAGAGCTCATATTTAGCTGCTTTTGTTATTACTAGTCTTTTCCAGGCGTTCATTTAGTAAAAAACAAAAAAAAACAAAAACGGAGCGAAATGGTACACGGCACAATATCAGCAGTGGAGTAATAAAACAGGGGACTTTTGGGTCGGGTAGGGTCGGGTGAACTCCGTTCTTTACCTGAGTCGACTCAAGCCTCACTCTTTTTTCGGTCCGCCCTGACTATCGCGCCGTTTATTGTGCACTTCGTTTTACTGGCTGAACGCCTCACGCAGGCTTTTTTATCACTCGATAAGCTGTCAAAAAAAAAAAAAATAAATAAATAAAGGGCTGTGATGCAGAATGCAAGAGACTACCCACATATATCTTCTTCGAGTCAGTAGTGGAGCCACTTATTACGAAAAAGGAATCGAGAGACAAAATGAATGCAATCACCTGTCGTATACAAAACAACTTTAACTTTTCCCATGGTAATATTTTGCAATCAAATAATGACTCGACAAAATAAACTAACTAACCTTACTTAAAGGTTTATTAAGCAAACAGTATCAAACAACATAAAAATATTAATATAACTTTGTGCTTGCGCCTATGAAATGATTGAATATTTTTCGAAGTCGCAAAACCTTATTGTAGAAAAAAAAAGAAAAAAAAAGGCTAGTACATTACAAAAAAAAAAAAAAAAAAAAAAAAAAAAAAGACTAAATCAAAAATAAATCAAAAGCTTGGCTAAGAGAACATGGTGTTGGTGACCATAGCTTCATCCAAAGGAAGTCTTCAAATTATTTCCTGACCGATTGACATCTGTGCTGCAACCTTTTTATTTTTCAGTCTGCCTTTCGTATGTGAGAGATCACAGCATTGCCATAAGCACTTCGTCATCTGTCAATAGCTTTTGGTGAGGGTAAAATGATGTTTTCATTATTTCTTTTGAAACAATGGTAACAGAGAGTATAAATTTGTCCCTGTTATAGGATGTCATATCCAAAATGTCGTTTACCAATTTGATAAACAAGTAAGTAAGACAATCAGCATTGTTCAGTAGCAAAATTCCGCCTGAAAATCAGAGATAATTTGCACACAAAATGTCTGACGTCGGGTGAATATTTGAAATATTCATGATCTTTTGAGTAACATTTCCACCCTTTGTTCTATGTTGAGACCTTTCAGTGTAAAACGGCAGGATAAATTGTCGCATAATCCCTTTTTGGCAAACAACTGAAAAAGAGGAATCGAGAGACAAATTGAATGCAATCACCTGTCATATAAATAACAACTTTAATTTTGACCACTGTAATGTTTTGCAATCAAATAATAACTCAGCAAAAATATTTACTTACCGAACTTCATCTCGGTCCATAAAAACGCAGAAAAAGAACGAGGTTAATATCCAGCCATCTTGACCGAATAAGCTTGGTCAAGAGAGAACATATACTCCACAGTCGATCTCAAGTTTTTATTTCATTTTTTGTCTTCATCTCTTCTCTCAGTCGTGAGGGGAGAAAATGAATAGATGAATAAATAAATGAAAAAAGGAAGCTCAACAGTTTGCACCTATAATTATACGGTACATGAACTGATAACCGAGGTGTAGTGAAGCCTTAGAGGGCTAGAAGTGCAATATCCCTGATTCAAAAACTTTTTACCCAAGCCTGCAAATTGTCCGACCCACAAGTCGGAGGACTCCTTTGTCCAAGTTTGAAATTTCATTTATGACTTACGTTATCACATTTTGCCAAAATCTATTGTACTTAAGAGTCTGAGCCAGTGATATATGGAGAGGTATTGGTCAGCTTACTCATTGTTTTGCCAGCTATCTTTTGACGCCAATTGTTCATCAGTATAACGGTTTGCAGCCAATGCTTTTCGACTTAAGTTTAACAAATAAAAATACGCTGATTGATATCAGCGAGCCTGCAATGTGACATGAATACTGGTCGGAGGATGTTTTTGTGCAACAGCTGTCACTTCAACATCTCAATATGGATCTCCGCTATAACAACAATGCACTGGCGGAGTTAAACGATTGCACTAGAGGACTAAATGTTGTTACATTTACGACTTTATTACATTTAGGACCAAAGTCTATTACATCTAGGACTTTATTACATTTAGATCCAAATGTTATTCCATTTAGGACTTTATTACTTTTAGGAAATTTATTACATTTAGTCCTTCAACAAGCCACGCAGACCATTGAAGCGAACTTTTCACATTTGAAGAGTACCTTCCATCGTTACGAACAAGAAATAAAAGTTCGGAGCACGAGACACAACTCTTCTCTAATATGTCTACGAACTTGACCAAAAGAAACGTTTCAAAAACGCTGCGCCTCATGAATCCACAGATGACGAATATCGTTGTCGATAAGAGTACATGACACGCTCAACCACTGTCGATTGGATGATTATTTAGTCTTGATTATATTATGGTGGAGATCTCAGACGTTTGGTTTTCTAAGGTTTATTCCTAATTAATTAAAAATATGGCAGCCAAAAAAAAAAATCGTATTTTTGGATTTGTTTCGACAATTTCTTTATTGACGGCCTTGATCTCTATTACCGTACCTGAATTTTCATCACAAGGTATTCAAATTTTATTGATATCCTTCCGCTCGAGAAAACTACTTATTAAGTAATGTTATCTCCACTTCTAAATACGGATAATTGTGCTGGAAAACAGTGAATTGGAATTCTCAAAAGGGAATCAAATTTTAGGAAATTATTTCTCAACCAAATTCGAATTTCAGCACCATAATCCTTAACTGTAGACTGTCTTTTTTGATGTCACCGGCCATATTATGACTTTGATGCGTGTGTAGTCAATTGCTAATTTAAATGGAATATAATCGGTGTGCAATTCTATTGTTTAAATAATCAGCTGCCGACAGAGTTTTTGACTATTCAACAGATATTCATGTCATGTCCAAAACTTACTTCTCCCTGAATCTGAGTGACTCCACTTTACAACTAGATGTTCAGAAGAGAAAAAAGGACAGAAAAAATTGACACCAGATGGTGCTTAGCAAACAGATTCAAGCGTCCTTTTTTTTTTTTTTTTTTTTTTTAAATTTTAATTCAGAAATGGATAGAGAGATTATGGTAACATCAAATTTCGTTAAGGAAAGTAAGCGGCTGCCTATTCAGAGGCTGCTGCGACACTGATGTTTGTATTATGCTTCATATTAATTTTCTTTTCAGTTTTGGACTGTTCACCTCCTAAAAATTAATGCAAAAACAAGTATTAGTAATTTAAAAAGTCCAAAATTGAGCGCAGTATCGGCAAATTATTGATAAAGAAAATGGTTTCAACCTACGCACGTTTGTTCTGACGAATTATATTCCATGACCAATCACGGGGCGCACAGCTTTTAGTCAGTCTTGTGATGAACATGGGTTTCTCTTGGGAATTAGAAACTGCCTTTTCAATGAAACACAAAAGGTAACTTATGCAACTAAAGGGGTAACAGCAGTTATTTCTCATAGCAGGCCTTCCATTTTCTACGCAATAGATTATTTTCACGGATATCAGTCTACAAGTCTGAATGTAAAACACACGGTGATAAAACTGGAGTTTAACAAAATGAATGTAAGTAACTTTGGGGATGCATTTAAAAACTCCTCCAAATCATTGTTATTTGGCCCAGGCACAACGCAATTTAGATGGGACTTAAAGCAAACACTTTCGCTTCAACTCACCATTGGTGCAACAGCCGTTGCTTGTCCATGGATCATATTTCTAAACATTTTGGTGATCTTAGCAATCAAGAAAGTAAGAGAGCTACAGAAAAACTCCAATATTCTGATTACTAATTTGGCCGTGACTGATCTTTTAGTTGGAGCAGTTTCTATGCCTCTTTCAATCACTGTGGATGCCCTGATTCTTCAAGGAACTGTATCACATAGCACTATTTATCTGTTGAGTGAAATTGGTGTCTCTGTACTGATCACTTTATATACTATCTCCTATCGTCATTTATTGCTGATAGCTTGGGAGAGGTATGTGGCGATAGTTAAATGGACAGAGTACAAAGCGTTAGTCACAAAAGGACGGATGAAGAAGTATACTCTAATCGTCTGGATGGAGAGTGTTACATACATGGCCTTACATCAAGCATTAGTTTTGGGTAAAATTCCTCCCGAGGTTCTACTTGTGGTGGATCTTGCGATTAACCTCAGCTATCTCACTGAAACGTTACCGTTGTTATATTTTTATGGCATGATTTATATCGTTGTACGGAGACAAAACAGATGTCAAATCAGCCAATTGAGTGCTCTGATTAAAGCAAAAAGGGAAAGGAAACTTGCGTTCACTGCATTTCTGCTGTTAATAGCCGCTTTCATCTGCAGTGTTCCGATACTAGTAGTCATGACCTCGGCATCATACTCACCAGTTTTTCGCACGTATTCGGCCTTACGATGGGTATATATTGTGGTTCAAATAAACTCTCTCGCGAATCCCTTCCTCTATTTCTACAGAAACAAACGTTACAGGAAAGCTCTGCTACAAATAATAGGATTCGAGAAGACACAGGAAATCGAGCGAATAGATCCCAAAGGGCATTGTGCAAGGCGGAACCGTTGCACCGTGGAGCCTATGGACACCGAAGGAGCTCTAGGCTTCAAACGATCACACTCACTTCCAGAGCAGACTCTTGGACTGAGGAACACGAGAGTGTCGAAAGCCACAACGATGGAAAGAAGAATGTCGGCTCCATGTTTGACAAAAACAGACAGCTTGCAAAGCGGAACACAACCCTTCTAGCTAGATGGTATGATGCAGATAGAAAATAAACCATGATAGACCATCAGAATTTTTCCATCCTGATAACCAAGCCAAGGGCTCACATCATCATGAAAGGTTGAGGTCAAAGTCATTTAATGAAATATCTTTCGAAAGCTATTGAAAATCTCACGAAAGTTGAGTGTCAAAGAGAAACCTTAGTGCCATCAGCCATAACGTCTTTAACTGATTGACCATTTTACGGCTGCAGTTAATATTCAGTTTCCTCATCTGTACTTTAAGAAATTCATGGAGAACAGTATGGAGAATATGCAAACTGAGTTAAAATATAAGAGCGCTGAATGAATTCCTGTCAATACCAATATCCATCTGCAAAAATCCAGTAAATTTTAGGCTTATTTTGATGGCAAAATTTTATCAAGCAATTTGGATCCACCTGTGCAAAAAGACGGGTTGCTTATACATAATTTGGGATTCCGGGATTCTGTCGAATTATTCGGTGCTTAAATTTTGCAACTGCTTACTGGACATATGTCTGTAAGGAAAAATCAAATTCAAAATAAACTAAGAGGAAAGAGTCCATATTGACCTGGAGTTCATCGACACTCTTCTTCACGCCGAGGCTCGTAGCGAGAGAGTTTGACCCACTGCTCACCATTTTGAAAGCTAGAATGCACGCAAATGAAGTCAAACTTTGAAAAAAGCTAATTGGTATATTCTTTTTTCTAATAGGAAGGGGAGGGCGACAGTAATAATGTCTTCTTAAGGGCTGCTCCAATAGTTTAAATTCAATTTTTTGGCCTTTTATGAAGGCATTGTAATCTGTAATTTCATCGATGTTTTTTAGTTCTTGTACAGTATCAAAGGCAAGTTCTACCTGGCCTGAGCCCGCCCAGGCTGAGAACTACTCGAGAAGCGCTGCAAAATGATATATTATTTTTTTCCTTTTATCTGGAGACCATATCACCATTCATATTAATTACCATTTATAAAATTCATCTGAATAATAAAAGCAATTACTTTTGGGTGTACTGCAACTTAAGCGCTGATAAGTCAAGTGTTTTTTTAAACGTTCCGCGATTCATCTCGGCTCGGTAAAACTAAAACTAAAAACAAAAACAGAAAAACAAAAAACAAAAAACAAAACAAAGCAAAAATAAGGTGATAACTCGTGTAAAGATCGCAAAAAAATTGGCTAAACAAGCACTTTCTACGAAATTTCACTGGACCTAGTTTCCAGCCGCGTTTGTGGTCGTCTTTGGTATAAACGTAAAAAGGAATTTTTCCAAAAAGACGGATCGATCGTGATCATGGTCACACGTGACGGGGCTAAATGTAAGCAGTTACTAGGTAGTAGGTTTTCAATTGTCTTGTGGGAACTTTTTACCACTCGATTTTTTTTTTGGAAACCAGCGGCAGCTCAAAAAAGCACCTTTTTATTTTCGGAATTAGCAAAAGGGCGCTCAAGAATCTTTGCGATTCCTATTGGCTGTTCAAGCGACGTTGCATGAAAGCGAGGAAAACAGTGTAGAGTCGCCCTCCATAGCCGTTGACTTCATTCAAACGGCGAATAATTCTCCAAATATATTCTGTTCCATATTTTCCCGAAAAGAAGAGACGTCGTAACTTAAATTCTAATCACAGCCAGATTAAAGATCGAAGGCATCAGTTAAATGGTAATTTTCCAAATACCAGGAATAAAGAACTACACTCAAAAGTGTTTGAAATACTCCATGTAGATTTACTTGTAGATAAAGATTAAGGTTCTTGTCGCAAACGTGGAACAAAGAAAAATTTTGAGTCCCTGTATGAAATTAAGCTTTAGGCTAAGAATTCCTTGCCCCCATTCTCTAACACTGAACAACAGAGACTCTGAGGTTAACGAAGCCATAACTAGCTTTATGTGTGACACGTGCCCTGCTGGAATCTGGAATATCGTTCCACATCCTTCCTATTCTAAAGGGTAAATGGCATTATTGTTTACTAGCTTGGAATTAAACACGATAAATTAGTTTTTCAATTTCAATTTTTTTAAATGGATTCTCTGGGTGTTTCTCTAACCTGTTGTCTCATTTCCTCTATTCCGATTCAGTAACAGCTGATACAAAAAAAAAATGTTTTATCCACAATTCGTTTGGAATGACTCCGCTGACGACATTTCGAGATGTCCTCTATAGGAAAAGTTGCGTGTTTTAAATATCCTGCTGGCTTCTGTTACATAAATAATCTTTCCAGAGACCGTGATATATTCTTGAACATTGCTTTACCAAAATAACAACAACAAAAGCAGAGAGGACAACATTAATTCGAACTTTCCTTGTGGAATAGAGTATAATTTCTTTATTTCTTTCTTTCTTTATTTTTTTTTACGTGTAAAGAAGTGTCTTGACTTACAAGTTCCTTAATGTGAATATTCCTACTGAAAATATCTAAAGGCAACTTTCTTCGTTGGTTGTTCTTTATTTCCCTGGAAACATGACATCAAATCATAGCCTGTATCTATCTATGCCTACGTTTCCCATTACATTTATCCCTAGTATCAGACCCCATAGATTCAAAGCACACATCGTTGCAGGCTCTAAATAGGAGATGATGATTCTGCAAAATTAGGCTTTTTATATCTTCCATTCAAAACAGGAAAAAGTGGGCACTCAGGGGCCAGTGTCACTGTTAAATTTGTACAAAGAACTCTGCAAAAAGAAATCGAAGCCTTAAAAATGGCCTCATAGATAAAAAGAAATAAATACTCAAAATCGAGATAAACATCTCTAAAGAAGTATCGAAATCAGGGGACAGAAATTTTTGCCGATAATACAAAACCCCTCAATGTAGAATCCAAACTTTGTGCGGGAGACAAGGCAACCACACTGCCTTATTTAAACGGTTAGGCTTTCAGTAAAAGGCTACAGCCTACCGAACTATATTTACTTATAGTATAACACTGAGGAAGTGCTTGAGCTTCGAAAAATTTCAACATCAATTCGGAGTCCTATCACACATACGCCTTAAATACGAAACTGACATTCCACGTTAATCTAACAGAGAAGATATCACCCAAAAAACAACCGAAGCAGACATATGCAACAACCATGACCAAGATGCATCCTTTTATCTTCTAATCCTGCAAAAACCTAGTTCGAAAACGCAAAATATATTCCTTTTAAGGCTAGGGTTTCTTGACTTACAGTCCATACAACTAATTCGTTTGAAGATATTTGAATCAAACTCCTGCAGTAGGTTGTTACTTAAAACCCTAGTGAGATGAAGTAAAACTATGATCTATAGGAGGTGAAGCCTTTTTTTATTGTTCCTTTTCTCTGACATTGTAGACAGAATCACACTTCAAGCATTTGAAACAAATTTGATTTTTTCTAAGCCACACCTTATAAACTGTAAACCCTGAAAGAGTTTTGGTGTTTTATCAACCCAATGTGTCTATCATTTTATCAAATGAAAAACGGTTTAAACCAAAGATTTTAACATGAATATGAAGTCGGACGAGAAACCCATCGTGCCATTTTCAATTGTTTTCCCCAGTAAAAAGGCTCTCAATGGAGATTGCCCCAGGAATGCCACTTGTCAGATGTCAAACACGTTAAAGCTCTTGTCAAAGAGCTTATAAAAGCCATAGCAACGTAGACAAAAACTCATTACTGGCTGAAAATTATGTTATGATCAAAATGACACCAACGTAAAGGGACTGAAATGAACAACAGATCTGAGAGCGATATTGCGTGAATTTTATATTTAAGATATCTTTGCGATGAAAGTACAATTTTATCCACCTACGGCTTTTTCTTACCCTATCTAATGTAAAAAGAAAATCAAAGAAATTGATCATTTCATTTCTATAGACAACAATCAAACGTATGCAATATCAATCAAACATATATGGAAATGCATGCATATTATGTATAATATCCACACGTTCTTGTTTTAACCTCACACAAGCTAATTTTGAGAACATAAAATGTTTTCGTTTAAAGGCTAGGGCATGTTGACTTGGAGAGTTTCCGGCAGAGTATTTTTTTGAAAAATATTTAAATCCAGCTTCCGCTTTTTCTCTGTTATATTGTGAAATTAACCTATCACAAATACAGCTTTATTTTCCTCTTATCACTAATTCAAATTCGCGCAGAAAAACTGGCCGCACAGCTTTCGGGCATTTTACATAGTCAGACGCTAGTGATGAATTTTAATTCTTTGCAGTTGTTATTCAGAAACTAAGGTTAAACTGATCTTGACTGGGAGGGTGCTGTAAAGACGAATTATTCCTCGTTGTAACTAAGGATAAACTGCAAAAGAGTGGAAACGACTGCAGGATGATGGCGACAACAAATATAACGGGAAGTGGAACACAGACGACAGCATTTGAAAGATTGGTATGCAGTCCGGTTTGGGTAGGTGAGTTTAAACAACAGTCCATTTCATTCTCGGCAGTCAACATTCTCCTCTCCATCACAGCAACTCTTGGGAATTCTCTTATCCTTGTTGCCCTTCACAAGGAATCTTCTCTCCATCCGCCATCCAAACTCTTGTATCGCTGTCTGGCAACAACTGATCTTTTGGTTGGTCTCGTTACCCATCCTCTCTATGCTACTTATTGGATGTCCTTGGTTCACGAACATTGGAGTCTTTGTCGATACGCGAGGGAGGCAAGCTACATAACAGGCTTTACTTTGTGTGGAGTTTCTCTGTTTACAATGGCGGCCATAAGCGTTGACCGACTTCTTGCCATGTTGTTGGGACTGAGATACAAAGAGATTGTAACTTTAAGGCGTACGTACATCATTCTAGCTATCTTTTGGGTTGTATGTCTAGTCGCTGGTTTATCCTCTCATCTGAATTATCGTATAACCTTTTGGAACACCCTTATAAGTATATCATCTTGCTTGGTAATCTCAGCCGCCTCGTACGCAAAGATTTTCCGCGCTCTCAGTCATCATCGAGCTCAAATACAAGATCATGCTCAACAACAGCCGAGCCGACCAAATGCACTGAACATGGCGCGATACAGAAAGGCAGTCTACAATGCGCTGTGGGTGCAGTTAGCTTTAATTGTCTGTTATGTGCCACAATTTACAGTGAGAATTGTAATCTTTCTTAGTGCAAAGAGATTTTCGAATTTCTTCTTAATCTACGGAATGGCAATTGTCTTAATGTTCTTTAACTCTACTTTAAACCCGTTCCTTTTCTGCTGGAAGATAAGTGAAGTGAGACGAGCAGTAAAGCAGACAATCAGACAAGCAATCTGCTATGCATAGGGTTAGACCTATTTTAACGTTGGCATGTACTGTTTCTTCCATAGGTAATTTGGAAATTGTCATATCTTTGAGTTTGAAACCGATTATCGAATTTCATCATAATCAGGGGCATAGCGAATGTTTTAGTTTCTTTAATGTGACTTTAAACCCGTTTCTTTACTGTTAATTTTAAAAGCACTTTTCTTGCCGAATTTGAATATTCATGAATATTACGTGACTCTATCATAGGCCGTGTAAACACAGGTGGTCTTATGAGAAAACACTCTCTCAATTCATGACAATCGAGTGCAAAAGTTGCTATTACGCGCTCTTGAGTACCTACCGCTGCTTTATTAAAAATGGTTTGTATGACAGCTCACCACTGCAAGGATCATTTTCGTGCTTAAAATTCATGTGATGGTCAAAAATGATCTGTGTCATTAAAATTCTGGAAAAATGATTAAGTGTAATGGAAGGACAAAGACTTTGGTTACTAAACTACTACGCTCTAACCTCTTTTATGTGGTTTCTTTTAACATTTCCCTTTCTTCCTTAGGACCGTTACGAATATCACCGAATGAAAAGGGGCTGTATGCAAATGTTTGATGAGTAAATTATATGAAAAAGCTAACGTTGCCATAAACGTTATAAATGAAGGTATATCTCGTAGATAAAATGAGAATCAAATAAATTTGGTCAGAGATGTTTAAAACTTCAAAATTATTTATCAATCGACGGATTTCCGACCGCGATTTCTTGATATCGTAGATCAATGTTTTTAAATACTCCAGAAAATTTTAAAAATGTTTGTTTATTTACTTTGTCTTGCTGAGTCATGAGCTAAGCCAGACAAGCCAGACCGAAACTGATCTTTAGATAGAATATGATGAAATGATGTAGAATGTCCCAAGCTGTTAAGCATATCTGTATTAGCAGGGCTCATATGTAGTTGCTCTTGTTATCACCAGCCTTTTCCAGGTGTTCATTTAGTAAAACGGAGCAAAATTGTACAGGGCACGATAGTAGCAGTGGAGTGATAAAACGGGGGAGTTTTGGGTCGGGTCGGGTCGGGTCGGGTGAACGACTCGACCCAAGCCTCACTCTTTTTCGATCCACCCTCACTATCACGCCGTTTATTGTGCACCTCGTTTTACTAGCTAAACGCCTCAAACAGGCTGTGTTATCACTCGATAAGCTGTCAGAAAAAAAAAAGCTGTGATGCAGAATAAAAGAGACTATCACATATATTTTCTTCGAGTCAGTAGTGAAGCCATTTATAACGAAAGAGGAACCGAGAGGAAAAATGAATGCAACCACCTGTCGTATACTTAAAAACTTTAACTGTTACTACGGTAATCTTTTGCAATCAAATAATGACTAAACACAAAAAAATTGAAATAGTTTATCTTACTAGATGGTTTATTAATCAAGCAATTCAAGAAGGTTTCCGTAGCTTTATGCTTTGCGCATATGAAATAATTGAATATTATTATTCGGTTGCAAAACCATATTGCAGAAAAAAAGCTATTACATATATAGTTTTTCAACAAAACAAAAAACAAAACCTTAGCTGAAACAACATGGTATTGGTGACCATAGATTCATCCAAAGGAAGTCTTCCAATTGCTTCCTGGCCAAGTAACATCTGCGCTGCAATCTTTTTGTTTTTCAGTTTGCCGTACGTATGTTATCATAATTCTGACAAGTTTCGATATCACAATATTTGCATAAGCGCTTCATCATTTGTCAATAGCTTTCAGTGAAGGTTTTCCTTTTTTTTGAAACGATGGTCACAGAGAGTATAAATTTGTCCCTGTTATACGATGCCAGATCCAAAATTTCGTTTACCGATTACAGGTAATTAAGACAAACAGTAATGTTCGGTAGCAAACTTCCGCCTTAAAACCAGAGATAATTTGAACACACAATGTCTCCCGCAAGAGAAGCATTTGAATTATTTACGATTTTTTGACCGACATTTCCCCCTTTTAAAAGGTGAGACACGTAGAGACCAAAAATTTAAATCTTTCTAGAAATTAACTTTGCATCTCTAACCAAAATAGATTTTGAAATTGGACTTTTTCTCTTAGTTTTCCTAAGCTGTTAACAATTAATGGCGTCCCAAGATCCCGTGAATTGATAATTCACGCTATTATTTGGGTAAGGGAACGACTCTGATCCAAACAACACGTCGGCCGATGCGTTGATCAAGGCGTAAGCCGACGGCAATCGGTCGACTATCGCCATCTTTCGGTCGACTTTCGATATCCTATCACTAAAGGTTTATTTGAGTAAAGAAGTTTTTTTTTATGTTTTGTTCGGATATTGACCTATCACAAGAGCAGTTTAATTTTCCCCTTACTACTAATTAAAATTCGCGCATAAAAACTGGTCTTTTGCTCTCTTTCGTGTCACAAACCTCACAGCTTTCGGACATTATACATAGTCAGATGCTAGTGATGAATTTTTACTTCCTGTAACTGATATCCAAAAGCTAACGTTCAACCGACCTTGACTTATAGGATACTGTTAAGACGAAATATTCCTCGTTGTAACTAAAGATAACCTGCAAGAGAAAGGAAACGACAGCAGGATGATGGCGACAACAAATCTAACGGAAAGTGGAACACATACGCAAGCATTTGACAAATCGCTATGTTCCCCAGTTTGGGTAGGTGAGTTTAAACAACAGTCCATTTCATTCTCAGCAGTCAACATTCTTCTCTCTATCACAGCAATTCTTGGGAATTCTCTTATCCTTGCTGCCCTTCACAAGGAATCTTCCCTCCATCCGCCATCCAAACTCTTGTATCGTTGTCTGGCAACGACTGATCTACTGGTTGGTCTTGTTACCCAGCCTCTCTATGCTGCCTACTGGATGTCCTTAGTTCACGAACACTGGAGTCTTTGTCGGTACTCAAGGGACGCAGTCTACATATCAAGCTATGCACTATGTTCAGTGTCTTTGTCGACGTTGACGGCCATAAGCGTGGACCGACTTCTCGCCAAATTGTTGGGGCTAAGATATAAAGAGATTGTAACTTTGAAGCGCACGTATATCATTTTAGCTATCGTCTGGGTTGTATGTCTAGTCACTGGTTTATTCTCTCGTCTCAATTACCGTATAACCCTATGGTGCACCTTTATAGTTACACCATCTTGCCTGATAATCTCAGTCGTCTCGTACACAAAGATTTTTTGCGCTCTCGGTCATCACCAGGCTCAAATACAAAGTCATGTTCACCAACAGTCGAGACAACTAAATGCATTGAACATGGCGCGATACAGAAAGGCAGTCTACAATACACTGTGGGTGCAGTTAGCATTAGTTATCTGTTATGTACCACTTTTTACGGTGAAAATTTTAATGTTTCTTAGTACAGGGAGATTTTCGAATTTCTTCTTAATATATGGAATGGCAACTGTCTTAATTTTTTTTAACTCTACTTTAAACCCGTTTCTTTACTGCTGGAAGATAAGTGAAGTGAGACGAGCAGTAAAGCAGACAATCAGACAAGCAATCTGCTATGCATAAGGGTAGACCTAATTTAACGTTGGCAGGCTCTATAACTTATTTGGAAATTCTGATATGGAATTTCATCATAATCAGGGGCATGGGGAATGTTTTAGTTTTCTTTAACTCGACTTTAACCCCATTTCTCTGCTGTCATTTTAAAAGCATTCTTATCACCAAACTCGAATATTCAAGGGGAATACGTGACTATCACAGGCCGTGTACACAAAGCTGGCCTTATGAGAAAACATGCTCTCATTTCATGACAATCGAGTCGAAAGCTTCTCTTGAGTTCCTACCACTGCTTTAAATTAAAAGGTTTGTATGACAGCTCACGGCTGCAAGGATCATTTCCGCGCTTAAATTTCATCTGATGGTCAAAAAATGATTTGTGTCATTAAAATTCTGAAAAAAAATGAATAAGTATAATGGAAGGAATAAGAATTGGTTTAAAAACTACTACACTCTAACCTCTTTTATGTGGTTTCCTTTAGGATTTCCCTTTCATTCTCGAGATTGTCACGAATATCACGGAATGAATAAAAGGTTGTATGCAAATTTTTGATGTGTAAACAATATGAATAGGTTGACGTTGCCATAACTGTCATAAATGAAGGTATATTTCACAGATAAAATGGGAATCATATAAATTTGGTCGGTGATGTTTAAAAGTTCAAATTATCTATCAGGATCGACTGATTTCCGACTGCGATTTCTACATATCGTAGAATTTTGTTCTAAAGTACTCCAGAAAATTTTGAAAATGCTCTTTCATTTATTTTGTCTTGCTGAGTCATGAGCTTAGCTAGGCAAGCTAAGTGAAACTAATCTTTAAACAGAATATGATGAAATGATGTAGAATGTTCCCTCGAGTTAGGAAGGGTAAAGACTCTTGCGCATAGAGGAGATAAGATATGTAAAGAGTATATGTACAAATGAAGGACATAAAAAACCCTCTTCATCCTCTTCTACCAACACGCCTAGACAATACCTGTCCCTACACCCTACGGCACAAATTAGACTAGCTTTACTTTTACAGAAACATTGCTACCTGTAGAACGAAGCGCACGGAAGATTTTTTCACTATTAAGGATTTATAACAAATGTGATGCATGTTCTGGTGTAGCGTATATAATTTGTACTTAACATATACAGGAATGTACATAGTTGATCTTATTGAGTTTTCAGTGTATTATAACTCGTTAATTCAGTAAGTTACGGCAAGAGAGTTTAATAAACTGTTATTATAATGTCACAGGCTGTTAAGCACATCTCTATAAGTAGAGCTCATATTAAGCTGCTGTTGTTATCACAAGGCTTTCGTTTAGTAAAACGGAGCGAAATGGTACATGGCACGATAACAGCCGTGAAGTGAAATAACGGGGAGGCTTATGTCGGGTCGGGTCGGGTCGGGTCCAGATCGGTACAGATCGGGTAAGGAGAACGTTGTTCTTTACCCGATGGAACCAAGCCTCACTCTTTTTTCGTTCCGCGGTAACTATCGCGC